GATGACTTTTGGGAATAAAAGGCTGGTAATGAAGCAAAAGAAATTTGAGAAAAACCAAGATATGAATCTCTTATAATTGTAGTACTTATTACTTATTATTAATTTTTATTTGCAGAGAAATTTAGAGTCTAGAAGTCTTGGAATTTACCATTTGGGCAAATTAATCCTGTACGTGTCACATTAGAATATGGGGTGTTATATCTGGAGACAAGGTATAGGCTAAACATGGTGATCTTCTCACATAGGCAGATTAATTCAAATAATTTTTATTTTTTTTGGAAAAGTTTATCTTCAAATAAGCAAACAATTCATACTTAGAAACAACGAAAACTGTTCATGGAAGTTGTACATAAAGTAATATTTCTAAGAAAATATGGAATTCCAGTGTACAATGGATTAACATCCACAACTGGCCAAAGTCAGCCTTGTCTATTACTAAGAGTATTTCAGCAGAAATGGCAAATAGTTATTTCATTATTCAGGTCTTCTTTTAATAGACCATATTTCTGAGCACTCATAGATGCAGCTAAATGGTTTTAAAATGACTTTCCCTTCCTAAGGTGGATATGTGTATTATAAAAACAGAGCTAGCACTACCCAAGTTGCTATTTCATGAAAAAATGAAAAACTATAACTTTGGTTCTTTTGCTCAATACTTCTGAATGAACTATTTGAATATTTGAAAACAACCAGTGAGACAATGGGCCAAAGAACTGTTGATACATTTATTACAGTTGAACTCTTTTTTTAAAAATTATTTATTTATTAGTATACATTGTTACTCTTGCATGTATCCCTGCAGGCCAGGAGAGGGCACCCGATTTCATTACAGATGGTTGTGGGCCACCACTTGGGTGCTGGGGATTGAACTCAGGACCTCTGGAAGAACAGCCAGTGCTCTTAACCTCTGAGCCATCTCTCCAGTCCCTACAGTTGAACTCTTACAACAAACAATATCCCAAAAATAATTAGAATTCCGATATACTTGAACAATCCATTTCTGTTTCTCCTCTCTGTGTGTCTGAATATTTATGAACTTGCATATAGAGACCAAAGGTGATGCCAAGTACCTTCTTCAATCACTTTCCATTTTATTTTTAGAGACAGGGTCTTTCACAAACATGGAGCTCACTGATTTGCTGGTCAGCAAGCTCCTGGATCTTTTGGTATGTCTCCTCAGCAATTTTGGCAGACATTGCCATTCCTTCTTTTTACATGGATTTTAAGGGATCCAATTAAAGTCCTCATTCTTGTGGCAAGCCTTTCCTGACAAAGACAACTTTGCATCTCACAATACATTTTTATAACTACATTAATAAATTCTGAGTTAAAGTATTTGTTAACTGCTGTCAACAGAACACTTCAAATTAATACACTTTATAAATTTGTTGACTGTGATATAACAGCCTAATGTTTTATCATCCCAATAGACATATGATTTGGCTAGGAAAAATAAAATTAGTAACAATTTTATGCAAATTTTTTCTTTAATAAACAAAATTACAGAGGTGCTTAATATAAGTTGAAAGTAGAAAAAAAGAGTCAAAGGATTACCAAAATTTGATGAAGGCATCCACACAGGTTATCTAATCCCAAAGATTTAGTGATTGTCTTCTCTGATAATTAGAACACATGTCGTTTGATTAAAAAACTTCATGCAGTTCTCTTTTTTGTGTTTAGTTCTGTACTTTGGTTAATTTAAAATACTATAATAATCTAAACTGTTTTAATTATAATTATAAATTTCTTTAACTATTTTAAGTGATACTTTCATTATAAAAATTTCCTTTGAATGTATATCCAAGGGTGAAATATCTGGGTCTTTACTGCTATTCTATTTATAACAGCAAGGAAATGGAATCTTCTTAGAAGTTCATCAACAGATGACTGGATAATGAAAATGTGGATATATATATATACACAAAAAATTTTATTTAGCTGTAAAGAAAAAGGAAATTATGAAAATTTCAGGAAAAGGAATGAATCTGGAAAGTACTACACTAAGTAAGATAAACCAGACAAATAACACTTGTCCTCTCTCATATGCTTATCCCAGCTTTAAATGTTTTGTGTGTGTGTGTGTGTCTGTGTGTCTAGGTCATATAAACAAAAAGAGGTCTGTGAGAAGGGAAAATGAGGTGCTGAGAGTTGAGGAACAGGAACCCATGATATTACAATAGATAAAAAAACTACTTGGGGTGAAGGATGGATAGAGGACAGGGAGATACTGGAGAAACAGGGTTCAGATACAATACAATACAAATAATGTTTGAAAAAGCTATCATATAGAGCAGCGCTTCTTAACCTTCCTAATGCTGTGACCCTTTAATACAGTTACTCATATTGTGGTGACCCCCCAAACATACAATTATTTTTGTTGTTACTTCATAACCAATTTTGCTACTGTTATGAATTGTAATATAAATATCTGATATGCAGGATATTTAATATGAGACATGTGAAAGGTCATTAACAGATTAAGAACCACTGACATACAGAGTTAAAATCTAAAATATATAAAGAACAACAACAAAAAAACTGGACACCAAGAAAACACCCAACTAAAATATGCAGTACAGAACTAAATAGAGTACTCAATAGAGGAATCTCAAATGGCTGAGAAACACCTAAAGAAACATTTAACATCTTTAGTTATCGGAGAAATACAAATCAAAATGACTTTGAGATTTCATTCTACAGACATAAGAATGGCTAAAATGAATAAATGATAGCTCATGCTGTGAGGTTGCGGAATAACAGTCATCCACTGCTCCTGGGAGTGCAGACTTGTACAAGAAATCAGTGTGGTGATTCCTCAGAAAGCTGGGATAGATCCATCTCAAGATCCATGTATCACTCTTGGTCATATATTCAAAGGGCTCTATATCCTACTACAAAGACAACTGTTCATCCATGTTCACTGACTTTCTATTCGTAATAGCCACAAATTGGAAACAGCCTAGTTGTTCACCAACAGATGAATGGATGAAGAGAATGCAGTGCAATTACACAATGGGATATTATCTATCTGTTAAAAAAAATCATGAAGTTTGCAGGTAAATGGATGGAGCTAGAAGGAAAAAATCATCCTGAGTGATGTAACCCAAACCCCAAAAGCCATAGTATGTATTTTCTTGCATGTGGATGTCAGCTTTTAAAACTTTAAATTGGCACACTACAATGTGTTTAATCATGGAATAAGAGATGAGGGGAGGAAAGGGAGCATTCTCTAGGAAGACAGAATAGTTATGGAGAGATGGGGTTATGAGGAGAGACTGAAATGGGAAGATTAAAAGAAGAGGGGGAAGGAAGAATGGGGAAAGGAAGAGAAAATGGGAGAGGGACAATTAATATTAAGGACCATTTGAGGGGTCATATGGAAGTCTACTATGGTAGAATCTTCTTAAAATATATACAAGAAATCAAACTGAAGTCACCAAATAATATGAGAAGTGGTGATTATTTTCCAACTAGAGATCTCTAGCGACTAAGTAATAAAAGCCTACAGGCCCAGGAATGGGTTACATCTAACCAAAGGGGTACTGATGGAAACCTTCAAACAACCCAGGCTATTGCCAAGACTATTGGTTACTCTCCACAAATTTATGGTAAGGTCCTATTGTTTAAATATCTTATTAAACACTCAAAGTTGAGCTGGTGCCTAAGTAGAGCCTTTACCCCTACTGACTAGTGTTTGTGGTACTGGCAAGTACTCAGCCTGTTAACCCATCTACAAACCTTGCAATCTACAACAGTTAACTGCCTGCAGGATACACTGGTGCAACGGTAGTACAAATGTGAGAGTAACCAAGTACTACCAGACTGGACTGAAGGCCCACTCCACCAGAGGGAAATATGCCTGACACTGCTGGGGTGGTGACTAGATAGGTCACAAACCTAGGGAAAAACCAAATACTACTGTTCTGCTAAAGAAGCACAGCAATAAACTGACTCCTGATGACATTCTCCTGTACCTGTAGGTCAGTGCCTTGCTCAGTCATCATCAGAGAAGTGATCATTTCTACTGCAGGAGATGGGAACTAACATGAAGACCCACAACAAGTCAATGTACAGACAGTGACAGACTTTGGAAACACTCTTGGAACATCTTAAATGGGATGTCATCATCAACTCCCCTGTCCCCTGCCATCTGGGGTCATGGAGCTATGAAGAGGAAGAGGCGAAAGATTCAGGTGGGATGAACTGACACCAAGGAAACAGTGTTAGACACAATAGGACTGACCCACATGTGAGTTACAGAGACAGTGGTATGCACAGGGCCTGCACAGGTTCAAGCCAGATGGGGTCCCAGCATTAAGGTGAGGAAGTGGACATGAACTCCCATCCTTAGCCAAGAAGCTATCAGCAGCTTACACTGCTTATAAAGGAAAACTTTGTTTTCTCCAATGGCATTTCCCTGGGTATATAAACCACACTAAGGAGTAGGCCCCATGCCCAGTAGTAGATAGCCAACACAAAATGAATTCGATGGTTTTGTAGATGTTTTTTGGCCTCATATTTCTCCATCCGAGCATTTCTTTTAAAAATCTTACTTATCTTTTACTTGTATATTGTAGATTTTGTGTCTGCAGTAATAGGTTTTGATTCTGTGTGTGTTTGTGTGTTTTTGTGCTTTTTCATTTCTTTTTATTTACCTGTTTGTTTTCTAAAGAGAGAGAGAAAGAAATAAGGGATGAAGTTGGGTGGGTGGTGAGGATTGGGGGAGAGGGTAAACCATAATCAGAATATACTGTATGAATTTTCAATAAAAAAGTATTTGTGCTAATTAAAAATAGTTATTTTTCCTTTAAACTGTAGTTATACAGACTGTACTTAATATTGTTCATGTATGTTTCCCCTATACCTCAAACTAAGTTATTTTAATTTGTTAAAAAATAATATGACTACCAACTTTGCTAACAACTATTACACAAGGAAACAGGATATTTTAATAAAAGGTCTATAATAGTCTAATATTTCATAAAAGGACCATACAAATATTAAAAATACATTAGTTCTTAATACATACGAGGAATCCCTACTTGTTGTTTTCTTATTGCTGGACCAATGTTCAGTTTCTTATCCTTATAATTAAGTTTTTCAGCCTAAAATAAAGGAAAAATCCCATCATCATGATTTGTAAAATTATTTGACACCATGATTTGTAAACTTTGATACATTATTTATAATATCAGTGAAGAAAACCAGTATGAAACTAGCAGACATTGTGTGACAATTTTTAATTCTTCTTCTTCTTTTAAATGCAAGGTCTTATGAATCCCAGGTTGTGCTAAAAATCTGATATATTATCAGACAACTTTGAACTTCTGATCCTTTTGCCTCTACCTCTCAAGTGCTGTGATTACAAGCATATGCCACATTGCCTGGTTTATGTAGTATTGGGAATCAAGTATGCTACCTACTGAGCTACATGCCCAGTCTCAACAGATGGTCTGGGTTCAAGTAACTGTCTTTATTTGGGTTCTACTGCTGTGAATCTAAGTGATGTAGTAATCATCATCATTAGTTACTGATTAGGTATTTGAAATTCAGGTTTTCTCTAAAATTTATTTGTAATTTCCAACCACTATTTCTAGTTATTTCAAGGTTATTTGTGGCCATGTACAGAAAATATGAACAGTCCAACACAAAAGAACCCAGCTAAGATCAAAGTGATGTTTTTTTCTTGTTCTAGCTATCCAATTATAATGAAATATCCTTTTTAGATATGTTTTTTCACATTATGTCCTATTTTATTTTTTTAAAAATAAAATGACTCACAGGTGCTGAAGTACTAGCTAATGTTCCTAAGCATAAGAAGGTTGTCATATATTTTATGGAGAAAATGTACTGACCTCCTTAATTCAGGTATTATAGTCTCATTGGCCATGGATCCATTGTCAATGATTAACAATAGTTAAATATGTTGTTTATTATGGCTATGAAGTATCCATCCCTTCTCAAAATAGTTCATGTGTTCAATGCTCTGTATCAGCTGATAGATCTACCCATAGGAGGTGATCAGATGATAAGGGGTTGGATTTAACAGAATACTGCTGGGTTAATAATCTGAGAACATTAATGAGAGATGATGGAACTTTTAAGGGGAAGTCTTAGTTGGAGGCAGCAAGTCTAGTATGCATATTCTTGAGAACTATAGCTCAACATAGATCTCTTCCTCAGTCATCCACTGTCATATTGTTCTACCTTACCTAAGGCCCACAGCAACAGAACCAGCCAGCTATGAACTGAGACCTGTGAGACTATGAGCTGAAATAATCTTTCCATCTTTTAAGTAGCCTCTCAGATCTTTGTGACAAGCAATAAAAAGTTTTGCTAACACAATTTCTTTAAATAACAACACATGAAATGAGGTTATATGTTGATTTATTGGTGGCAATATTGTGACTAGAGGTTTTTTTGAAACCTTACCTTGTATTTCAACTAGGAACACCAGAAGTTCAGTATTCACTAATTCAGTTTTATATTAACTTTATGGAATAAAAACTATTATGAATAAGAACTGGCTGTGTATGATCTTAATAATACATAATTAAACTACCTTTAAAAAAAGTTTAAATATTATACTTGCCATAAGTTAAAAATATCAAAATGAACTACAGGCTATAGACATTTTACTAAATGTTACTGGTTTATGTAGGTTTTCATAGGAAGGAAATAATACCAGGTAATCTTATTCTAGTAATCTACATTTGTAGTGTTTCTTAGGAATTACAAAAAACCATTTATATGTCACACAGATACATTCTTAATTACTAGTTTAAGCAAATAAAATACATTATAGCTTAACAATCATCCTCATGTAATGAATTGGAATATATTGTTCTTCAGAGTCATTCTTAGAGGTCAATGGCAACCTTAAGATACATACAAACACACCAATGTATATGTAAGTATACACACACACACACACACACACACATATACATATATATGTAGATCACTGGCTTGTACTCTACCATTTTACTATCATAAAAGATTTGTTACAAAGAAAGAAATTTCAAAACAGAAGTAAATACACTGAACAGTCTTACCTCTTGTAAGATTTTTTGTGCATCTTCTTGAGTTTCAAAAGTGATGAAACCATACCTAAACAAATGCATTAATTATTAACATTTTATTAGAATATTACATTAAATCTTATCCAGTTCTGGGGATTGAACCTAGGGTCTGCAAGTTTTCTTTCTTCCTTCCTTCCTTCCTTCCTTCCTTCCTTTCTTTAAAAAAAAAAAACCACTGAAATGTATGGCTAAACCTATATTAACATTTACTTTTTAAGTATTACCACTGTATGTATGTTGCATCAGCATGGGGACCATAGATTAATACTATCATCCTTGCTTTTCAAAGTGACAGGGACTGAAGAGAATAAAGAACTCAGAAATCTTCAGTTTTAGCACTGTGATGCATTCGTGTTCTGGTTTCAAGATAGGGATGCAACAGATTTCAGAACAGGACAATAATGTTTGGTTTCTTTCCTTTCCTATCCCCCTCCTCTAGGTTGTGGATAAAACTCAAGGTCTTGTGCATATAAGGCAAGTGCTTCAACACTGAATACATTTTTTAGCCCAGTAATATCCTTAAAATACAAACAAATAAAAACCCAACCTAACCAGCCAGCCAACCAACTTCTAAAAATAACATGTTTGCCTTAGAGGAATCAGAGTAGAAAAATATCAGCAATAAAAGTTTCAATACAAAATTTCATATATTTGTATAGGTCTTTACAAATCCATCATTTAATTATTATTGTTACACATAAACTATAAGTATACTATTAGTGTATTTCCCAAATAGCATTAATATTTAACCTAATAATTTATGTTTTGTACTTTTGTATTTGCATGTATTTTTAAATGCAAATAACCTCAGCAAACAGGAAGCAGAGGCAAAAGTATTCTAAATTCCACCTCAGACTGGGATAAACAGCAAAAACTTAAGGTTAAAAAGAAATGGAAAAGAAAAAAAAAACACTTATGATATATGTCATGCCTGAAAAACTAAACTACAGGAAAAAATAAAACAAAAATATATGGCTAACATGTATGAGTCCTGTTTAGATATCAAATAATGTTAAACATCATGATTATCATTTTACTACTGATAATGTATAATAGTATTCCTTTTTGTTTAATATTTGTTTTTGTGCTGGGGAAGGAAGGTCCTCATTCATTCTGTGTAAGTGCTCTATTACCTGGCTACTTCACTAACATCAAAGTAATTTTTTTTAAAAAAAGAATGAAATTCTCTTTTCTGTTTATCCAAACATTGACTATTTCACACTAATTTTTAGTATAACACACCACCCAGTGGAAAAAGGTTATAACACAGGATAGAATAAAACTTGTTTCTGTGTAAGCTTTTATTTTTCTGAAATGCCTTTACTCAACTATTTTTGGTATTTTAATTGATTTTTAAACATAATAGGTTCCATCGTGACATTTCCTTCTTTTTGTTTTACAAGATAGGGATTCTCTGTGTAACAGCCCTAGTTGTAATGGAACTTGATTTGTAGATCAGGCTGTCTCAAACTCATTGAGCTCTACCTGCCTCTGCCTCTCTAGCGTTGGGATTAAAGGTGTGTATTTTTTTTAAAACACTCTCTTTACTCTTTGGTGGGCCTCCCAGATAAATACACATAGAAGCTTATTCTTACTTATAAATGCCTGTTCTTAGCTTGGCTTGTTTCTTGCCAGTTTTTCTTAAATTATCTCATCTACCTTTTTCCTCTCTTTGTCTATTCTATATGCCTTTCCTTCCTTCTTAATCCGTGGCTGGCTGTGTAACTTGGTGGATGGTCCCTGCAGTCCTCATCCTTCACTTCTTGATCCTCTCCCTTACCTCAGATTTCTTCGCTTATTTATTCTTTCTGCCTTTGAACCATGCCTACCCTTTCTCCTCCCTAGCTATTGACCATTTAGCTCTTTACTAGACCATTCAGGTGTTTCAGACAAAGTAACACAGCTTCACAGAGTTAAACAAATGCAAAATAAAGAATGCAACACATCTTTGCATCATTAAACAAATGTTCCACAGCACAAGTAAATGTAGCACATCTTAAAAGAATATCTACAACAGGTGTGTACCAGCATGCCCAGCTCATTGTGACATTTTCATAAACTATATTTAGTATCCTTTGGTTATATTGTCTTCCCATGATCCTTTCTTGTGCTCCATCACTCCTCTGTCTAGTCCATTCCTTAAAAGTTTCCCCTTCTGATGTATGTATGGTCACACACACATTTGTATTTTTCATGAGGGCAAGCATTCAATGTTATTTTTATACTCCATTATCTTCTCATTTCTTCTTCTTTTCTCCATTCTGGTTCCCTTCCCACTTTCATGTGTAAAGAACTCCAACTGAGCTATTGGAGTCTTTTACACAAAATTCTGGCTTATGATTATATCTTGAAGTACTTTTCCAATATTTTCATTTAACAGTTTTAAAGCTTCAAGTCTTTTTTTTCTTTTTTGACAGATAGTTTTGGTTGTATCTTCTTTTTTAATTTAATTTTTTTTATTTAATAAAGTTTCAAGTCTTATATTAAGGACCTCTAGTCATTTTGAATTGAGTTTTGCATAGGGTGAGGAATATCTAGGTTCATTTTTTCTGTAAATACCTGGTTTTCTCAGAACCATTTGCTTTTTGTTCAGTGTATGTTTTTGTGATGTTTGTTGAAAATCAGGTGGCTTATTTCTGTGTCTATCCTTTGGTCTTTGTATCTGCTTTTGTACTAGTACCAGGGCGCTTATTTTATGTATTTATAAAGTCTAGGGCCCACACATGAAAGCATAGAGTATTTGTCTATTTAATTTGAATAACACACCACCAGTTGCACTGAATTTCCTGCAAATAACATGGTTTCATTCTTTTTTATGGTTGTGTAACACATTTTCTTTATCTACTCCTTTGTTGATGGATATCCAGGTTGGCTCCATATTTGAGTAATGTGAATAGTGCTGCAATAAACACTACTATTTCTGACATATGTTGACTTGGGGTACTTTGGGTAAATATTGATTTTTATAGCTTTGTCATATGATAGGTTCATTTTTATTTATTTAGAGGGACTTCCATACTGATTTCCACAATGGCTGGACATTCACACCAGCAGTATATAAGGATTCCCTTCTGTCTGTATATTGCTAGTATTGTTTTATTGGTGACTGCCATTCTGACTGGTATAAGACGGAATCTCAATGTAGTTTTTATTTGTATTTTTTCTGATGGTATAAAGTTAAATATTTCCCTATACATTTATTGACCAATTGTAATTTGTATTTTGAACACTGTCTTATTTTATTAGCTCATTTGTAGACTGAATTGCTTTGTTTTGAGTGTTTAGTTTTTAATTTTTTTGTATATTCTAGAAAATAATCTTGTCTGATGTATAGTAGCATCGGTACCATAGCTCATTCTGTAAGCTATCTCTTCACTCAATTATTTCCTTTGCTTTGCGGAAGCTTTTGAATTTAATGAAATACCGGTTGTTAACTGTTACTATTTCCTGAGTGACTGGAGTCTTATTCAGAAAGTGCTTGTCTATGCTAGTATCCTGACATGTTTCCTTCTATTAGTATTAGTTTCAGGTCTTACATTAAGATTTTTTTTTTTTTAAATTTGGGGTTTCATTTTTTATTTTATGTGCATGAAGTTTTGAATGTGCACCACGAGCCCAAAGACACCAGAAGAGTTGTGAGATCCTTTGGAACCAGAATTACAGATGGTGTTGAGTTACCATGTGGGTGCTGGAAATAGAATCCGAATCCTTTGAAAGGGCGGCCATGCTCTTAACTACTGAGCTCTATCTCCAGTCTTAAGGAATTGAATTTTGTAAAAATTTACATTCATTCTTTCACATGTAGCTATCCAGATTTGCCAATAACAATTGTTGATGAGGCTGATTCACAGCAACGCAAAGTCTTTTCTTTGAAAAGATCAAGTGGCTGTATCTAAGTGGGTATATATCTGGATCCTCTATTATGTTCCATTGAGCTGTGTGTCTGTTTTTGTGTTAGTTTTGTGCTGGGTGTTTTTGTTTGTTGACTACAGCTTTGCAGTACAACTTGAATAGTGTGACATATCAAACTTTCTTTGAGCTCAGAACTGCTTTGGCTGTCTGGAGTCTTTTGTGTTTCTATATGAATTTTAAGTTTTTTTCTTATTTCTGTGTAAAACAGTGTTGGAACTTTGGTGGTGCTTGCACTATAGTTGTAGATTGCTGTTGGTGTACAAGCCATTTCCCACATTAATTCTTCTAGTCTATGAGCACGGTAAGTCTTTTTACTGTCTAGTAGTTTCTTTTACTAAAAAAATTAAAAATTATGTTTTTGCTTGCATGAGTCTGTGTATCTCATGCTCATAAAAGCCAGAGGGTGTCAGATTCCTGGAGCTGGAGTTACAGGTGATGGTGATCCTGAAGTGGGTTCTGGGAACCGAACATGGAGTCCTCTAAGAGAGCAGCAAGTACTCTCACTGAGCCATCTCTTCAGCACCATTCTCATTGTTTCTTATAAACCAGTTATGTTTCTGTGGTTGCTTATTTTTTAAAAATATTATCTATGGTGTGTTGTCTACAAATTCATTTCAGTTTCCAATTTGATGGAATATAAGCTTTAAAAATGTTCTAATCATTTTCTGAATTTCACTGACATCTATGAAAATATCTTCCTTTTTACCTCTAATTTTGTTAATTTGGGTCTTCTCTTTTTTGGTTAGTCTGGCTAAGAACTTATGGAGCTTGTGTATCTTTCCAAATTACTCTGCCAAATTGGTTCCTTTATTCCCCACTTCCATGCTACTGATTTTTCCCTGATCATGATTCTTTGCTTCTATTGACTTTTTTTTTGTTTTGTTCTTATTCTTTTCCATGGCTACAATATGCATTATGATTTATGTGAAATCTGATTGCATTAATCTATGAATTTCCCTCTATGAAGAATGCCTTAATTCTATTTCATACATTTATGTATGTTATTTTATTTTATTAAATTCTAGAAATTTATTTCTCTATTTTTCATTGACTCAATCATTATCCTGTAAAATGTTATGTCTCACAAGTTAATGAATGCTCTAAAGTTTTTCTTAC